TATATAATTTTTTTGCTTTGAAATAGTATATTTACTATATATACTATTTACTATTTACTATATATACTATTTGATATAGTATGTAGTAAATTTACTTTTATTAATGAAGAAATGTGTCAACAGAAGAGCATAGAGTGTTTGATGATTGCTACTATATAAAATACAGGTTGTGTGCCCATATATGTATATTTATATTATATAAAACTTCTTATAGAGTATTTGAGAATTGATTCTATATAAAATGTAGGTATGCCCATATATGTATATGTATAATATATATACCTATATATATGTTCTATAAAACTTCTTATAGAGTATTTGAGAATTGATTCCATATAAAATATAGGTATGCCCATATATGTATATATTTATATTATATAAAACTTCTTATAGAGTATTTGATAATTGATTCTATATAAAATATAAGTATGCCCATGTATGTGTGTATATGTATATATTATATAAAACTTCTTATACAGTATTTGATAATTGATTCTATATAAAATATATGTATGCCCATATATGTATATATATAAAAAATATATATATACCAATATGTATATATTTTATATATGCTATATAGAACTTCTTATAGAGTATTAGATAGATAATAGATAGATAATTAGATAGATAATAGATATAGATAATTGATTCTATATAAAATACAGGTTGTATGCCCACATATGTATATTTATATTATAGAAAACTTTTTATAGAGTATTTGATAATTGATTCTATATAAAATGTAGGTATGCCCATATATGCATATATATATAAAATATATATATATATACACCAATATATATATATTTTATATATGTTACATAAAACTTCGTATAGAGTATTTGAGAATTGACACTATATAAAATACAAGTTGTATGCCCATATATGTATATTTATATTATATAAAACTTTTTATAGAGTATTTGATAATTGATTATATATAAAATGTAGGTATGCCCATATATATATATGTATAAAATATATATACCTATATATATATTTTATATATGTTATATAAAACTTCTTATAGAGTATTTGGTAATTGGTACTATATCAAATACAGGTTTTATGCCCATATATGTATATACATATAAATTATATGTATATACCAATATATATATTTTATATATGTTA